GAACTGTAGAGCTGCAAGGGACCCTTAAGGTCATCAAGTCCAGCCCCTGTCAAGGAAGCATGGGGGGGGGAGAATTTAACTCCCAGCCTATGGAGACCTAAACCCTTGAGCTATCCAGTAGTTTATTAAGGATCATCATCATCATCTTAGAATTGTAGAGCTGGAAGGGAGCCTCAGCATCATCCGGTCCAGCCCCCGTCAAGGAGGCCCAGTGGGGGAATCGAACTCCCAACCTCTGGCTCTGCAGCCAGATGCCTAAACCACTGAGCTATCCAGACGCCTTCCCTCCGATGGACCGCAGTGATATGTTTATCCCTACAAAAATGTATCTTAAACCTGGAAGAAAGGTAGCATTGAAATGCAGTGAATTCCATAAACCCTGCATTCTTGTGGTGCCAAAGGAATGGAACGGGAAAACCCTAAGGATTAGTCCTCCGTGCTACTTTTCTCCTTTCCGTGGATGTTTCCTAAAGAGGCTTCTTGCTCTAAGGAGCAGCCATCATCCTTTTACAGAATTGCAGAGTCAGGAGGGACCCCAAGGAGGATCTAGTCCAACTCAGAAAATATCAGGACAAGGCTGCGTGGTCTTCAAAACATTACAAACACAGGGACAGCTGGTCCCTTTAGGAGGCCATTAAGAACATAAAACAAAATAATAATAATAATACAGCAAGCTTTTTAGATAATCATTTATCTTCCTCTGAAGTTGGTGCACAGCCTGAGGAAGATGAATGATCACTGAAAGCTTGCTTTATTTGTTGTTTTTATTTTTATTTTCTTAATGGTCTACTAAAGTTATCATCTCTCCATCCATTAGCCCAACTCCACACCTATACAAGAAAGCTACAACCGATGCAGACGGCTGTTTAAAAATTTCCAGCAAAGAGTCGTCCACTCCCTGGAGGGGTTTTAGTTCTGCAGGTATCTGCAGCAAACACGTCCTTTTCTTGCAACATAGAGATGCAGTACATCTGCCTGTAAGGCCTAGGAAAGGGAGAGGATCTTGCGACACGCCCCTCCACGAGTGCAACACGCCCACCTGCAAGTGTGACACGCCCACCTCTGTGCATGGAGCCCGCACCCCCCCAACCGGTCTGCGGTCCCAAAAAGGATGGGGGACCGCTGGACTGAGCGATTGTTGAAAAGAGGCAAGCAACCCATCCGAAGCCTCAGATTTTTTGACATCCATGAGACGAAGCGCTGGCTCTCCTGGCAAAATTATGGGCAGACTGTACAGCTTCGTATCAAAAGCTGGGCAAATTTGCACAAACCACTGCTTCTGCTGTTTGTGCGAACAATGTTGAAGGCAAATGCCTTGCTGGCCTTACTGGTTCTCATGGAACGTTCTCCTCCTCGCCTGCCACCATGAGTCTATCAAGGGTTTTCATCCCTAGCTTGACCTGAGGACCTCTGAATCATTTCTAACACTATGGGGGCTAGCCAGATGGAGACCTTACCACACCTCTGGCTAGCCTCCGGAGATGGAACAGACTGCTAGCCTTCTGAGCATCGAAACAACGGCCACATTAAACAATGTAACAGCCATGAGGTTCCAGCAGGAAAAATGTCTTTTTTTTACGCCTGGAAAGAAACGGCAAGGCTCCTCATCAGGGAGCAAGATTGGCTGCTTCTGCTCCTTTCTTCAATGTATTCTTGTCCATAGAGATGGGCACGAACTGCCAGTTTGGTGACCGTTCGTTTATTGGCCAAGCAAGTGTGTTGACGCTTCAAAGCCCTGCCTCCTCTGGTGGGTGGCCCACTCAGATGCAGCAGCCTGGCTTCCCTGCCCTGCCTCCTCTGCTTGCGAGGGGCTGCCTGCCAGAGGAGGCGGGGTTTGGCCGATAAACGAACTGGCACGAACCACCATGCCCACCTCTACTTGCCAATCTTGTGACGTAGTGGAACAGCGATGGCGCCGTCTAAATTAAAAACCAGGGAAGCGAAGGGCAAGTCCATTCATTCTGCGATGGCCAGACTTCCACCTTCCATTGGCTTTTTTTTTTCATTTCCAGTTTTGGTGATGGCAGGATAGCAGAGTGCTTTTGCTAGATCCCAATTACACAAAGCAGGAAGTTTTTTTTAAGCTTAGGAAAGAACCCATAGCACATAAAGGTGTGTCATCTGACTTCCCCCTATGGTTCCGTGGAACAAGCTGGAATGCTAAAAAAAGAATAATTTTAAATTCTGAAACATTGAGGCAGGCGTGCCAAGTTTAAAGAAAGAGGGATCCCCCGACAACAGAAACTGTTGGCCAGTATCCTACTGAGCTTGTTTCTCTTGAGCTAAAAAGTCCCACCAGCCTAGTAATATGGGATGGCGCCACCTGTGTTGGGATCGCCCCAAAACTAACCCCACTCACCGTAATACTGACACGGGGAGGCACAATTCTCTACGGGGCCCCATTTTGAACCACAAATGATGCATGCTATGGATATTGACAGATCCGCCTCTCTCTGATCTACAGGCTAAAGCAGGAGGGTGATGCGATGGAGGGGGTGGAAATGACCTTTTCTGACGGCTGTCCCGATGCTTGTTCTTGCAGAAAGGGGATGGTCTAAAAATGGATGCGCATCTCACGTGTCTGATACTGCGTCGATGTTTCAGGGCCATTTAAAACACAGATAACCATGTGTACCCAGGAGGGTGAAAATCAATCGGATCCGAGTCTGGAGGTAAGAGCAGGGTGCATAAACTCCTTTTAAATCGAGAAGACATAAAGAGCGTTGCAGCTTACCTTTGGCCCTAGAAGACCATCTGACCCTGGCGTTCCCAGCCTCCCTGTGCTGCCGGCCTCACCCTGTACATGGAATCAGAGACCAAAAATAAGTATTAGCAAGCCTTCTTAAGGCATAAGGCAGTCCTTATCAGGGCTCTGCGTCTGTCAAAGGCTTGATTTTCAAAATGTGCTCTCTTTTTTGCACATTAGTTTTTAGGCAGCTAAAAAAGAAAGAAGTTGCTGGTTCCGAGTTCCATTCCTCAGGACCATCTGGGGGGGGGGGTGCTGAAGGAAGGTGGGAAAGGACAACATAGCCAAAATCCCTTCATTTGATTATGGCTGGTCAGGAATTTCGCCAGATCCGGAGTTGTGCGCCCATCAATGTAACCTATACCTCCCAGTGTAGATTTCACCATGGAAGACATCTTCAGGATAATGTGAACAAGGAAAGAAAGGCATGGTATATACACTCTTTGCTCATTCTCTAGAATAGCCTGCTTTGCCCTTCCAGAATGACCTGCAAGGATGAAATTGTAAGTCAATGGCTCATTGATTTAGCACCCTTTCCAGATCACTTATGATAGGCATGTCCGAGAAACAACAGAACACCTCTAGCTTGGAGAAGCTATGGTTTTGGTTCAGCTGGCTGCTGATCCACCTCTGAGCCCAGTTCAAAGTGCTGGTCCCCCGGAGTTGGGTCAAAGTCATGTTGGTCGCTTCGGTGACACTGTCCACCCATCTTGTCCTCTGTCGTCTCCTTCTCATCTTGCCTTCACCCTTTCCCAACATCAATGTCTTTTCCAGGGAGTCTTCTCTTCTCATGAGATGGCCAAAGTACTGAAGCCTCAGCTTCAGGATCTGTCCTTCCAGGGAGCACTTGGGCTTGATTTCCTTCAAAGTGGATAGGTTTCTTCTCCTTGCAGTCCAGGGGACTGTCAAGAGTCTCCTCCAGCACCACAATTCAAAAGCATCGATTCTTCGGCAGTCAGCCTTCTTTATGGTCCAGCTCTCACTTCCATACATCGCCACTGGAAAAACCATAGCTTTGACTATGCAGACCTTTGTCGGCAAGGTGAGGTCTGCTAGTTGTAGTTGTAATATAGAAAACCCTAAATGGCTTGGGTTTGAGCTATCTCAAGGAGCATATCTCCCTTTATGAACCTCCTCGGGTGTTACAATCATCAGAGGAGGCATTTCCCTCTGACCTACAGATGTGTTTGGTGGAGTCACAGGAGAGGGCCTTCTCGGTGGCTGCTCCCAGACTTTGGAACTCCCTCCCACTGGAGGCTAGGCAGGTCCCCTCTTGGCTCTCCTTCCACAGGCAGGAAAGTACCCTTCTTCCCTCCCAGACTTTGGAACTCCCTCCCACTGGAGGCCAGGAAGGTCCCCTCTTGGCTGTCCTTCCACAGGCAGGAAAAGACCCTTCTTCTCTTCCACTAGCAGGCAAAGATCTACCCCTTAAGGAGTGGCTGCCGGAGTGGGTTTTTTAAATAGATGGTTGTGCCTTGCTGCTTTGAATGTGTTTTTGGGGTAGCTTTTGTTTTCTTTTTTTTTGGAACTCCCTCCCACTGGAGGCCAGGAAGGTCCCCTCTTGGCTGTCCTTCCACAGGCAGGAAAAGACCCTTCTTCTCTTCCACTAGCAGGCAAAGATCTACCCCTTAAGGAGTGGCTGCCGGAGTGGGTTTTTTAAATAGATGGTTGTGCCTTGCTGCTTTGAATGTGTTTTTGGGGTAGCTTTTGTTTTCTTTTTTTTAGGGTGGAAATGGTTTGACGCCTTTGTAGTGTTTGCATGCTTAGCATTTTTAGCTTTTAAATATTGTCTTCTAATGATGTAAGCCGCCTGGGTTCCTTCTGAAGGCGAAAGGTGGGGTAAAAGTTCTTTAAACAAACAGATAGCAAAATGTAGGACTTGCCAGCTAAAACAAACCACTACGTGCAAACAATCATAGACTCAAGGCAATAAAACAGAATGCACATCAATTTTATATATATATGGAAAAATCTGATCAAGCAAGTATGTCTCCAAGAGGCACTCAAAACACATAACAGGTGCTGCCACCCATACAGGCAGTGGGGAGCGTGTTTTACGTGGGAGGAAAAGTAATAGGAAAAGCTCATTTTTTCCCTTTACTTTTATTTTTTTAATGATTGCCTGGATGAATTGTCCCCATGTTGTATGCAGGTCTTCCCCTGATACCCTTAAGTGCTCTGATGAGTCCATAAAGAAAAAGGTGGACTTCTGGGTAAAGGAACACTGGAAAAATGTTACTTTTTTGGACTCCAGAATCTCCAAGTCAAAAACAGTAACTTTTCAAGCTCTGGAAATGGAAACCTGGAGAGACGAGAGAGGGGCGAGTCTGGTGCCTTTTTAGTGTCTTGCCTACCTTGATCCCATCCGTACCTGGGGGTCCTGTTCGTCCCGGGAGCCCACGTAAACCCTGCGGAGGAAATGTGGCCAGACAGGTAAGATAAGAGAGGAAAATCTCTGGTGACTCAAATTATTGATTGCATTCATTCCACTGGTTCCTTCCACCTTTCCAGGTGGCTCATGATCATAAAACATGATAAAAACAACAGTAAAAGCAGATCCAACCATAAAAGCATTACAGTTAAATAGAGACACATGGAAGTGGGAGAACCATGAAAACCGATAAATCCATGGACAGTTAAATTTGCCTATTCCTCCTTGCAGTGGTGCAAATGACGTAAACCTCACTGGCAAATTGCCGCATGTTAAGACATTAAGGAAGATATTGGCTCTGGTGCACCAACAGCCAATCCCTACACTAACTTCACAATACACAGCAATTTACAAGGAGCTTTACACACTCACAGTGTTACTAATAAGTCCTTGCCCAATAGCATAAGCCAGCCTAAAGAGGTGTGTTTTCACCCACTTTCTAAAACCAACATTTTACATTTGATAATGGCCTACAAAACCTTGGCTTATATTGACTCCACTGAGATGGGTTCTAAACCTATGCATGTATTGTAAACCTTGGCTTATATTGAGTCCACTGAGACGGGTTTTAAACCTATGCATGTATTGTATCTCATCTGATCTCATCTCATCTCTCTCTCTCTCTCTCTGTTCATAACTCTGAGGGGAAGGTCATTCCACAGTCTGGGATGCACACAGGAGAAATATTTCTCCAACTGCCTTTTAAGTTGCTGGCAAGATCTGAGGAGAGAGGCAGCTCCGTAACAATGCAGGTGGCCTCTCATATCGGCAGGCTTCAGATCCGGGAACTATTGTTCTAGGAATTACATAGCTGGGTTACAAAGATGAACAGCAACCACCTGCCACAGTTATAGGTGAGGTGGAGAGCTGACTCCCCAACTTTATTGTGCTACACGTGGTTTTTTGGGGGGACGTATTTGCACTCTACCTTTGAACCTTTCCGCCCGACATCGCCGGTTGCACCGGGATCACCTTTTCCTCCCTGGTAGGAAAGAATAGTTATTTTATTTGTTTGTTTGATCAGTTTGCACCCCCTCCCTCTCTAGCGACAAGTCGCTTCTCTGGGTGGCTTACCAAACGTAACATGAAAAAAAAAGAAAAAAATATACACCCACATAAACAAACAAACCTACACCAACCCCCAGGTGGCAACGACAGTAACGTAGATCAAACAATGAAAGAATAAACTGTCAAATGATTAAATGGAGAAAATTCTCAACAGCCTTGCTGGAAAGCAAGGGTTTTTTTCCCCTGCCTTCTAAAAGGTTAGGAGGGCAGGGGGCCTGATGCACCTCCATGGGTAATGTATTCCCTAACAAGGTGGCCATCACTGAGAAGACCCCGCTCCCGGTTGTAATACTTCCAGGCTTCCCTTGGTGTGGTCATCCATAACAATAAGAGTCCAGGGGCTGTGGTGGGATAGGTGACAGATCTGAGGAAGAGTCACTCTGACAGAATGCGTGTTGTTCTGTACATCCTGTCGGCAACACGAAGGAGAACGGAAATCTCCCAGGATTCGAACACAACCCTTATCCACTTTAATGTCCCTGCTTCCATCCAGTTAAGAGCTGCCTAGCAACCGCCGGACCTTTCCATTAACCGTCCATTAAGCCGGAATAATGAGAAAAGACAGCGAGAGTCTGTGAGAAAAAAAATACTCACCGGTTCCCCTTTCTGGCCCGGCAGGCCCCGGTCTCCCTTTGCCCCCTTCGCTCCGTTCTTTCCATCAAGCCCCGCCGTTCCCTGTAATGAAACCAATCGGCATTTTTTACATTCTGGAAAAGGGTGGGTGGCTTTCATGCCCAGAGAGGCTAAGATCCTCGCCTTCTATTCCCTTCTCCCATCGTTCCATCACATCTCAGCCCACGCTGGCAAAGCGTTATCCTTTGGTCCAGTTTCATGGAGGAGAATACCTGAGTGACTTCACAGGGCTCCTCTCTTTTTATACAGACCCCCGATGAAAGACCAAGAGACTTGTGTTTGACACACAACAGGCAAGGATTTTATTCGTAGCCGACTCTCCCTTCTAGAGAATCCTACAAAAGTTTTACCAAGTAATCCCCTCCCCAAATGAATCTTTTTTCCTAAAATTTATTTAACAAGCAAGCATGCATGGAGAAAGTTCCAAGAAGGTGACATACAGTATTCACCTATATTATTTCCATTTAATTAAATATTTCTCCATTAAAAAACATTATTTTCTCCCACCGTGTCATTGGATTGAAATGAGCAATGAACACTTCGATGACTCCACCCCTCCAGAGTCCCCCTCCGCCAGCAAGGCCCTGCTGGTAGCGACGGGGATTATGGGTGCTATAGTTCTCCAAAGTTACTTTTTCAAACAATGCCATGCTCAAATGAATGCCACCCAGCTTGTCTACTTTGTTTGAGGCTCACAAGAATTGGATGTAGGCCTTTGCTTGTAGATTTGTTGACAGGATACTGACTCTTGGCCAATGGGAAACCTATGCATTTCCTTTGGCCATCGTAGGACGGTTCCTAGTGGCCGAGTGACCCACACAGAATCATGAGTGTTGCAGAAGTGAATTTCAAGAAAACAGCCTGGTGGAGGAGGAGGGGGGAAGGAATCTGAAATCTGTTAGAAACCCACTTCTCTCTGAGCCCACTCATCTCCTTTCTTTGGTATTAAAAATCCTATTACATCTGCTTTGGAGGTAATGACTGAAAAGGAGCTTGCTCAGAAGGAATGACACCACCTTCCGGAGATAAAGATTGCCAAGTGATTCAACAACACTTAATGGCTCACATCAATTTGCAGCCATTTGTTCGATGAGAAATATCGGTTCCTTGCCTTTTTTTTCTTTCTCCTCCCATCCCAAACAAGTCACACATTTTTATTTCAAAACTACACCACACATCGCAGTTTAGGGGGGGGAGGAGCATTTCTGTGTGTCACCCTAGCCAACATGAGTACTGTAGTAGCTGGAAAAAAACGACTTCCGCGGGGCTAAAGGGATAACATGAAAGCAAGTAAAACCCCTGTAAGTCCATGCAGATCATGGAGGAGAAAGGAGCGTCTGCTTTTGCAAGAAATTTGTTGGATTTCCCTCGAGCAAGCATCAGGGAAGGAAAGCCCGCTCGGGGAATAGCTGCATTCCTTCTGCAACAAGATAGGAGCCAGAGCATCTTGAAAAATTTCAAAGGGATGGTCATGTCCGGCTGCTGCAGCAAAATAGCAGTCTTGTGACATCTTTGCTACAAGGTGGCTCCGTGGTTTAGGCATCTGGTTGCAGAGCCAGAAGTTACAAGTTCGATTCCCATCCACCCCTGTGCCTCTTGGGAGAAGAGCCAGCCTGGGTGGCCTTGGGCCAGCTGCACACAGTCCCAGAGTGCCCCTAGAGGAAGGGGAGGGTAATGCACTTCTGAGTATTCTCTCCAATGGTAGAACATTCCAGAAACAGGTAATGTGATGAAGTGCAGTTGTCTTAACTTTCCCCCCTAACCTGCCCAGTTTACAACACCTGTCAGGTAACGAGCTACCTTCCTCAGTTTTACTACAGTGAACTCAGATCTCTTTGCTTACGGATGAATCTACTGCAAAGATCGCAAGTAGCTGAAGTTCATTCACTAGAGACCAAGGCGAACATTCATCAACACTATAATCTTCGCTGTGAAAAGATATAGATGTGAAAGTTAACCACTGAAAAAGGCTACCGGGGAAAAATGATTCCTTTGAAGTATGGTGTTGGAGAAGAGTGTTAGAGATGCTACGGACTGTCAGGAAGACAAAATAAGCCTTATTTTAAATTCAAAGCCAAGTCTGAATTCACTCTGGAAGCAAAAAAAAAAGTTTAAATCCAGGCTGTTGTACTTTGTACACAGCACGAAAAGGCAATACTTGCTGGAAATAACAATTATGATGAGAAAAGGTGAAAGCAGCAGGAAAAGAGGAGGTCACAGATGAGATGGACTGACCCAATAGAGGAAGCCATGGACTTAGATTTTCCTCTCCAAAGTGAGCTCCCGTCTGCATCTCAGACATGGCAAATGTCTGAGAAGCAGACAGTAGTCACAAGAGTTCACACTGCCATGCCACCCCAAAATGCAAGCATTGGCACTGATTCGTATTAAAAAGAAAAACAAAACCAGTTCTCTCAATGTATTCTTGAAAGCCTGCCTCCCAGCACTGAAAAATACAGCCTGCAAAAGGTCTATTCAGCTACAGGGACCGGTGATCACTGCACACAAAAAACCAGCTAAGGACACGCATCAATCACAGTGACAGATTATCCCTCCCCCCTTATCACAACAATACACCAACAACAACAAAACACGCTGATCACCACAATCTCCCAATCTCCCGAAAAGGACAAAAAGCTGATCCCACAGCTATAAATACTCAACTATCCCACAAACTGCACCAGAGCACAGACAGAGTTCTGAATCCTGTCCTCTGAAGGTTGCCGGCCACAGAGACGGGTGAAACATTAGGAAGAAAAACCTTAAGAACAGGGCCAAAACAGCCCGAGAAACCTATAACCACCACCAGTTCTCTCAGTTTGAATCTCTACCAGGAACAGGTCTTTTGCAAATTCAATAGGTCTTAATTGGCCAATTGAGATCAAGCCACTCTAAAAATTATTTGCATCACAACAGGGAAAGATGAGCATAAAATATTGTTCCAGGGAAAACACAGCCGCTGCTTTTGTAAAGATTGCCAACTCTGCTCAGAAGGGGAAAAGAAGTGTAGCAGGTATGATTGTATGCCACCAACCTCAATCAAACCCTGTTGTGTCTTTGGCCCTGTGAGTTATGGTTCCACTACACCACTGGTCTGCATACCAAGGAGAGCCCAAAAAAGGGGGGTAAAGTGTTGAAAAAGATCACATAAGAAGAGATGTTTACATGTTGCAGGAAAAACGCTATAGATACTTCCCGTCCACACCTCAAAAGCCTTATGATATGATATGATACGTTGTAAAGATTGCCAACTCTGCTCAGAAGGGGAAAAGAAGTGTAGCAGGTATGATTGTATGCCACCAACCTCAATCAAACCCTGTTGTGTCTTTGGCCCTGTGAGTTATGGTTCCACTACACCACTGGTCTGCATACCAAGGAGAGCCCAAAAAAGGGGGGTAAAGTGTTGAAAAAGATCACATAAGAAGAGATGTTTACATGTTGCAGGAAAAACGCTATAGATACTTCCCGTCCACACCTCAAAAGCTTTATGTCATGATACAGGGAACAGCTGTTGGTGTTTATTCACAGAGGTTTGCATCTGTAACTATCCCAAAGCAAACAGAAATAGGACATGAAAAGCTTCTTTAAGGGTCATTTCAAAAATGTATTATTGATCCAGTGCTGGAAGTGGTTAATGGTAAGTGATAAATGAAGTTGAAATGGTCCTTGACATATTGATAGAGAAAAGAACACAGAGACGACTAACCAGGAAATGAGACACGACAGAGAAAGGTTGTCATAAAATCTCCCGCTTCAAAAATGGTAGTCCGGTCCCCAAGAACGAAAGGCTCAAAGGGTTGCTTCAGTCCGCATTTCAAAGGGAGACCTGATCTGCATCCTCCAGAAATACAGTGGACCCTCGACTTACAGACGGCTCGACTTACAGACTTTTCGAGTTACAGACTTCTCTGGCCGCAAAATTTAGATTCGACTTGCAGCCAGAGAATCGACTTACAGACCAGAAAAAAACCAAAATGGAATAAAAATAGAACAAAACCCACTGGTTATGGGATTAATCGGTTTTCAGTGCATTGTAGGTCAATGGAGATTCGACTTACAGACTTTTCAACTTGCAGCCACCATTCCAATATGGATTAATTCCTTAAGTAGAGGGTCCACTGTAATACGCTCTGTTCTTTCGGATTTTGTCCCTTTTCTGAATTTTGGCATTCAGTTAAAGGCTCAACAAAACAGGGTGTGTATTGAAGGGTGCTTTGGAGTTAAAAGTATCTCCAGTGATGCATGTTTTGTGAGAAGACACGTTTGCAAAGATCTAGGTCAATACAGATTTCCAAGCAGGCTTTCAAAAAAGCAGATTAATGCAAGGGAAAAGATGCAGAAGAGACACAAGACACAGAAACGGGCAGGAAACGAGTGGTCCTTCCATCTTGAAAGAAGTGTAGAAACCAGTGTTTCAGTGATGAGCTTGGAGAAGTTTCTTGTTCTTGGACTACAACTCCCAGAATTCCCCACTCGGCTTGGTCTGTGCTGGCTGAGAGATGCTGGGAGTTGCAAACCAACTTTCCCAAGGACTGTGGAGCAACATTTTATACACTGAATGGCACTGAAAATAAACATGGGTAGGGATCAGGAAAGGCCTGGAGATTTCTATGACTATTGTTTGCTCTGTCTCTTAAGGGGTCTTGTTTCTGGATTCTGCACTGATTTTTCTAGACCTTTTCCAGATGTCAAGTTTGGTTCCCCCCTCCAGGTTCCCAGACTTTTTCCCACCGTCCTGAAAATACTGACTTATTTTTTGTTCTGGTTTGTTCCAGGAAGTGGAGTTTAGCGCTAGGACATTTCCCGAGATTTACCGCAGCCATGCAAGACCAGCGCAAGGAAGCAACAGCGAAAACAGTGCAGGGGACTAGAATGGATGCTTGATGGGCAACAGCAAGCTCAAATAAAGCAAAAATAGGACCCTGAAATAGAGAAGCAGCTCGGCGCTAGACCACTCACCACCAGGATAAGAGTCCCAGTAAATTCCAGGAATAGGTGACAGAAAAGGAAGTAACAGGAAGAGTTACAGACACATCTGAAAAAGCTCTGTGCCTCAATGTTGGAGACAGGATACTGGGTTTATTACATTAAGCAGGTCATTCATTCTGCTCAGCAAAATCAAAGTGTTACAGACATGCTTCCCAACTCACAGCAAATCCAGGCAGTCCTGGTTCCCCAAGTTCACCCTGCAAAAAAAGCAAAGAATAAATCGAACCATCTGAAGGAATGCCGAGTATCGTAGAAACGTTGATCACCGGGTTGTAGGAGAGAATCCAATCTTATTACCTGACTGGGTGATTTCTGATCCTTCTTCCTCACAGACAATCGGAGCAGAATGTTATTTTTAATGGTTTTGGCCAACTACGGAAGCGTTCTACATTTACTGACATATAGCCAATGAAGAAGTGGCTTTGCTGCCGGATTACTTTTAATGACAGAATGATATGATAGGGAGGTAGGAGATATTTAGGAAGATGTATATATGTATATAGATGTTTTTAGTGCTTTGGTGTTTTTAGTGTTTTTAATGTTTTTAGATTGTTTTTATGTCTCCTAATTTAAATAATGTACTGTATCTTACTTTTGCTGGTCAATGACCGTAATAAACATTGATGATGATGATGATGATGATGATGATGATGATGATGATGATGATGATGATGATGATGATGACAGAATGCAAGCAGGGCAAGATACGAAGGGCAGAAAGGTACAGCGCTTACCTATAAAGCCCTCCATAGTTTGGGACCCCCCTTACTTAATGGAGCATCCTTCCCTAAGATCATCTTCCCATGCCACCAGATCCTCCCAGCCAATGTTCTTCTGCGTGACCAGCTGAAGGAGGCCAGGAGAACATCAACCAGAAGCAGGGCCTTCTCAGCTGTGGCACCATCGCTTTGGAAGCCGCTCCCGGTCAAAGTGCCTCTGGTTTCCTCCCTGCCCACCTTCAAGACGTTGCTGAAGACTTTGCTCTTCAGAGAGGCTTTTGATTGCAACCTCGTCTGAATTTGATCTTCGGCCCTGATAGTTTATTATGAAAATGTGGTGCCATCCAGCTTAAATGACTTTATTTTATCATTTTCATTATTTTTGCTTTGTTGGTTTGTCTGATTTTATTGACTGTTAACTGCCCAGAATAGTGGGGCATGGTGGCGCCGGGGGTTAAATCACAGAAGCCTCTGTGCTGCAAAGTCAGAAGACCTGCAGTCGTAAGATCGAATCCACGTGTCGGAGTGAGCCCTGAGCCACGGCGTTCTGTGTCTACTCACGCTGGCCACGTGACCACGGAAGATTGTCTTCGGACAAACGCTAGCTCTATGGGTTGGAAACGGAGATGAGTCGGACACAACTGGACAAATTGTCAAGGGGAACCTTTACCTTTACCTAACCGCCCAGAATAGTGCATTGCACTTATGCAATGTTATATAAACCAATGATCTAAATAAATAATAAATAAATAGTACCTAGAGGTCTAGTTTGAGACCCGGACTCAAGCCCTTACTGGACCATGAAACTCACTGGACAAGATCAGCTGAGCTCTCTTCCTCGTTCTGCTTTAATCTGAGACACTACATCACAGGGTTATTGTGAGGATAAAGTAGTGAGAAGGGCCGTGGCCAGTTGTTCTGAAATTAACTGAAGGATGGGTGGGATATAAAGCTATTGATAGGTTTACCGTGCATGGTTTGAACTGAAGTAAAGTTAAAAGAACTTTGACCAGACTGCCATCCTATCAGGCGCTGGACTCCCAAAGATGCCCACTTTGTTGACAATAAGATGACTCCTTTGAGTGTTCTCGTGGGAATTTGGGAACCAGATTTGATGGTAGCTTAAAGCCTGCCTCCCAGAAAAGTAGACACGAAGAAGGAGAGGGATGATGATTTTACATGCAAGACAGAAGCAATTGTCCACAAGTAGGCACTGCACTTTCACCTTAAGAGAACTTCCTTTGGTTTCTGTCCTTTGCCATGAATTTCCTGTTCTGCCTTGGTTAAGCTGTCTTAGCACCAGCTCGGAAGGACTGTATCAGTGCCAGACTCGATCTTAGTTTGCAGAATGGTTAATCCTGCCAAAAGCAGGTTACCTGTGAAGATCTCGGCCACTGGACTGACCTTCTGCCCCACTGGTCCTCTTGCGCCGAAGAGACCCATGACTCTTAGCACCAGCTCGCAAGGACTGTATCAGTGCCAGACTCGATCTTAGTTTGCAGAATGGTTAATCCTGCCAAAAGCAGGTTACCTGTGAAGATCTCGGCCACTGGACTGACCTTCTGCCCCACTGGTCCTCTTGCGCCGAAGAGACCCATGACTCCTTTAGCTCCTGCTTCTCCTTTCACCCCCTGGAAGGAAGGAAGGTAGGAAGGAAGGAAGGAAGGAAGGAAGGAAGGA